GGCCCTTCGGAATGAAAGATTCATTCAAAGGGTACAACTGATGGACACTTCGGGCTCCCATGATCCTTTACGCAGATTCTTTGCATGATGACGGCGCCTCCGTGTGGGCACGTGATGATGACGCAGAAGGGCACTTCAAGAAACAGTTGTTTGGTCCCCTACACCCTTGAACCCTTCGAAGCTCTCACTCCGGAGGGTGAACCCTTTGAAGGGATTAGGGCGTAGGGATGAGCCCTTCCAAATGGAACGCAGGGCTAGATGAAGAGTTTAACAGTCTGATTCATTTTAGTGAATTGGTTCGTTCTAAACAGTTCTCTCTCTTATATGTAGAGTAGAAAAGTCCAATTCATTCTGGTGAATCAGAAAAATCAACAAGTGTTTTTTTTTTTGTATTCTGTCTCGCGTCCCACAGATGCAATAAATGAACGTTTTTATAAAGTTTTATATTTAAAAACATACTCCCCAGTAAGTTTCAATCTAGTTTCCCCAACATTTGTATCACTGTAGAATATCAAATAAACTGCAATTTATGGCTGCAAGTTCCAAAACAGCACTCATAGCTGCGAGCGATAGCAAATGTTTGGAAGTTAGTTTGTATTACAAACAACAGGTGTCTCATCTCATCATCATAAACTTCTGAAATACGAGACAGATTAGCACAGACCTGTAAGACCTTTAGCGGACGTTCCCATGTAGCATCATGCTAAGTCATTTCCTGCCCTTCAGATCTACAAATGCTTTCCCCGGATTCACCCTTTCTATCTGATATGTACATCTGCATCTCATTAGCATAAATCTGTATAATATTCCCGTCTCGCCTGGTTGCTCACACACGGACGACGGGGCAATGGTAAATCAAAGGTAAAGAGGACGCTATTTACCGAGTTTATTTGGTTTGCGGTCGTCAGCATGTAAACAGTAAATGGTGCGGCCGCTCGCTGTGCCTCCTGATTAATTTCACAGTCGTTGTGATGCAGGGGAGCAAGGGACTCGCTGGCAACCTTGATTAGACACCACGTGTACAGATGTTCCTCAATGCTTCAAAGGGAGATCCTCACTGAGAGCTGTTATTGTGGATGGGGAGGTGAGAGGCGGGTGCTGCTGACTCTGAGGCTTCACTGGATGTGTTTCTGGATCAGCTTCTTGTAGCCCTGTTGAAAAAACCAGCATATGCTGGTTAGGTATGTTTTGAAGCTGGGATGCTGGTTTGAGCTGGTTTAAGATGGTCCTTTGCTGGTTTAAACTGGTCCTTAGCTGGTCATGTGCTGGTCTTAAGCTGGTCCGTGCTGGTTTTTTCAACAGCTAGCTACAACATTCACACAAACATGCTGTAGTTGTAACTTTATTATTAAACTAATCCAAAGTATAAACTTCTTCTGAAATGTGAAAGAATTATACAGTAGGTAGAAGTCTGGTGTATGGATAAAATTCATGCTATTCTTTTTTGGAGCTTAAAGATTTGGACCCCATTACGTTTAATAATAAGCTACACTAAAAATAAAGGTTTTGGTTCTACAAAGAACCATTCAGTCAAAGGTTCTTTAAAGAACCATCTCTTTCTTACCTTTTTATAATCTGAAGAACCTTTGTGAAACAGAAAGGTTCTTCAGATGTTAAAGGTTCTTTATGGAACCATTTAGATAAAAAGGTTCTTCTATGGCATCGTGAAGCACCTTTACTTTTAAGAGTGTATAGACAGAAAATAGTTTGTTGAATATTTCAGAAGTTTTTGAGTTTCAACTTCATCTCATAGAGAAACATAACTGTTTGATGAGGTGGTGATTCACTGTAAAAAACGACCGTGAATTTAACGGTAAAAGACTGTAAAAATGCTACAGTAAAAACCTGTTAAATGGTTTACGATAAATTCCCCTACTATATACGGTGAAAAACTGTATTGGACATTACATGTATTGGACATTAATTTTATGGTAGTATACAGTTTTTGGAAGTGAAAAAGACCTTATAATTTACAGTGAATAACCGTAAATTGACATTCCCAGAATTCCCTGCGTTACATTTCAAATGTGATGTTTTTTTGTTGAAATAACTGTTTCTTCTTCGTTTTTCTTATCAGTTTTGTATATTAGGGTTGTGTGTTACACCTAATGTTGTTAAATGAATGTTTATTGCATTATTTCAGTTTCATGTGTGTTACCATGAAGGTGTTTAGTGTTTGTGTGAATGACGCTGTGCACCTTCTATATATGTTATTATTTAAAAGCTGCTTGTGATGGGCTTTGGTTCATCATGTGACTTTCTCATCACCACCTGCATTTGGTGGTTATCAGTGTATTTCAAAGGTGCAAAACAGATTTCAGTACTTCAATAGGTTGGTATATTAACATTATATCAGTTAATGAAATTTAACTGTAAATTTAAGTTAAAACCGTAAAACCTAAAACGTTGCTACTGTATTTTTTACGGTAAAATTCCGGCAACCACAGCTGCCGTTTTTCTACCGTAAATTTTACGGAATTTGTTTTACGGTGATATGATGTGATTCCGTACGAAAACATGCAAACATGCAAATCATCAAAATAAAGCTGAAATAAATAAAGGTTAAGTAAAATATAAATATTAGATGAAAGCTTTGAAAAACTTACATGACAATAGGAAATGTTATAGAATTCAGTTATAGAAATATATTCTGTTATAGAAATATAATTCTGATACAGATACCTTAATGTTTTTTTGTTTTTTTTTTAAGCTTGAAAGTTTTGGACCACATTGAATTTAATAATACAGACAGAAACTTCTGAAATGTCAAAATATCTTCTTTTGAGTTCCAACCTGATCTCATAGAAAATGTAACTATTTAACGAGGTGGCGATTTCATATGACGCGAATCATACGATTTTTTGAAACGAAGCACTGTAAGTATGAAGGTCCACCCCTAAACATAATCATGTGAGTAAATCTTTTTTTGAATTCCAAACCGAATACATTTCTAAATTGAAGTAAATCAAAGCTATTTACACTCTTAAAAATAAAGGTGCTTCACGATGCCATAGAAGAATCTTTTTGTCTAAATGGTTCCTTAAAGAACCTTTAACATCTGAAGAACCTTTCTGTTTCACAAAAGGCTCTTTGTGGCGAAAGAAGGTTCTTCAGATTATAAAAAGGTACGAAAGAGATGGTTCTTTAAAGAACCTTTGACTGAATGGTTCTTTGTGGAACCAAAAATGGTTCTTCTATGGCATCGCTTGAAGAACCTTTTGAAGCACCTTTAATTTTAAGAGTGTAGAAATATAAAAGTGACAAACACAACAATGTTACTAAAACTTAAAACGACAATTAAGCTGATATAAGCTGAAAAATTCCTAAAATATTTACTAAAATAGGATGAGTAAATAACACTTTCTTTTTATTGTGAACTAGTCCTTTAAGAACAAACCCTAAGCTCTGATTGGCTGGTTGATAAGTGAGTTAGTAAGTTCACAAGGTAAGTTTATGTTACTCAGTGTAACACGAGTAACATAAGAACCTTATAAGAAGCAGAATGGACCCGAGGAGCAGATCTCGCAGGAGAACATCAAGTTCTGTCTTGAGGAACTGATTTTGTTCCTGACATTTAGTTTCAAGCATAACTGTTGTTAATGTGGGTCTCAAATTCCACATTACATTTGGTCAAATTAGTTAGTTTGTTTATTTATATGCATGTATTTGTTTGTTTATTTAACATACAGAATCCCTCATTTATTTCAATGTTTTACAGATATTTGGTCTAACATCAATGAAATAAAAAAATAAAATATGCAATTATATAAATGTATATAAAAATAATCTTGATGATTTTACAGTCGTGTCATTGCTGTCAGAGAACAATCAGCGGGCAGAGCTCATCAGGTGTTGTTGGCTGACTGAGGTTGCGGCACACAGACGCTCGCGCTGCTTGGCGAGCTTCTCCGTCAATCCAAATTAAGCGCTGCGGATCACGCGCCAATTACCACCCCTACTACGACAAAGGCGCATCTCATTAATATGCATTAGGGCTTGCTGACGCCCGCGCCCATCGTCCAATGGCAAAGGCTTGGCTTCTTCAGTAGATTTCATGTACATTAAAGCAGCTTGCCAAATGTAAACCATGACAATACATAAATGCTGATAAAATCAGTACATACATTTAATATTCAAACAATGCATTAATAATAAAACAACGCAGGACTAAATTGTGAAAAAAAGATGTGACCCAATTGAGATTTATATATTTATGAATAAGCTTTCCATTGATGTATGGTTTGTTAGGATTGGACAATATTTGGGAAAATCTGGAATCCGAGGGTGCAAAAAAATCTAAATATTGAGAAAATCATCTTTAAAGTTGTCCAAATAAAGTTCTTAGCAGTGCATATTACTAATCAAACATTAAGTTTAGAAATATTTACGGTAGGAAATTTACTAAATATCTTAATCGAACATGATCTTTACTTAATACCCTAATGATTTTTGGCATAAAAGAAAAATGGATAATGGATCATTTTGACCCATACAGTGTATTGTTGGCTATTGCTACAAATATCCCCCAGTTTTGTGACTAGTTTTGTGCTCCAGGGTCACATATATTGTGTAAAACACATTAGCTCAACTGCAATTATCATTTATATCGCATTATTCGCATTTATTTATTTAACAAATAAAACGCATTTGTTTGATAAGGCTTATAATCTAAATGAACATGCCTTACATTTGATTGTTTTTATTATACTTGGTGTATTTTTAAGTAAATGTGTTTTTCGTTTTATTTTTTATTTTTTGTAAAGCACATTGGACAACCATGGGTTGTAATTAATGGTGCTATATAAATAAATCTGCCATTGCCAACATACAGAATTAACGATTATTCATACAAAAAAAAAATTGTTCCTCTTTTAGTTTCTTAGTCTTAAAAAACTGGCTTTTTAATATTAATGTGCTCACGCTGACGTCGTTGGCTGACTACCCAATGGCTCGGCTCGGCTCATGAATATTAATCAGCACGCCTTCGCCGTGGTAGCGTCGGCGGATTCGCAGACCGGCCGCTGGCGGACACAAGCTGTGCAGGTCTCCGCAATGCCAGTCGGATCTTAAGCCGCCCGGTTCACCCCGTGAAAGGTCAAAAGAGCCCTGTTCCCACCTCAGCCACAGACTCTCGGTCCCAAACCGGCAGGAGCAACAACAGCAGACATCGTTCAGCTGGAGTAAAGCGCGTCCTCCGGTGCAGCGCAGCTAGAAGAGGAGTGCTGTATCCCAAGAACTGCAGCGCCGCGTGAAGTGTGTTTAGACGGGGAAAATGTCATTGTCTGGGAAAGAAAACAACACTACCCCTCATGCCAATTACGTGGGACCGTACCGCTTAGAAAAGACCCTCGGGAAGGGACAGACAGGTTTGTGCTTTCAGGCATTTCAGCTGCATCATGCACCGCGTTACTGATCTCCATCAGAGAGAGCAGCCCGAGTCCGGAGGCTGATATTGTGCGTTGTGTTGCGTAATGCTGTTTGGATGCATGTGGCATTGATTTGTTTCGGTGTTCAGTAACAAACTGCCTCTGCATCCTTCTTCTTCATCTTCATCTTCATCTTCTTCTTCAGCTCGGGTGTGTTGCGTGCAGCGCGGGGTCTGAATGCGCGCTTATGAACTTGTCCGCTCGAGTTTTGAATCATGCGTTCATGCATTTATTCAGAAATGAGAAGAACTAGGCTAAAGTTACCTGTGAGAGCTTGAACTTTTCTAAGAATGAGCTGCAGGCGGGGTCACACCTTCAGCGTGCGGTTTACAGGTGTGTGATGCCCGTATCTGATCGGGTCACACATTACTGCCACACTTTTTGGATTTCCAGATGTAGTTATATATATATATATATATATATATATATATATAGACATATTTGAGATTTTGAACTATTTGCAAGTGTAGCTAGTATTTAAAAAAAATAAAAAATAAAATTATGTACATAAGTAAATATGTAATATTTCTATTTATTTGTGTATTTATATATTACTCAAAACAACAACAACAAAAAAATATATATATAATAAAAAATTTGTGCAATATTGCATATAAACAGTAGGTGTTTTGTAAATGTGAAGTGAGCATGTGTCGGGGTGGCAGTAGGAACCACCAAATCTCTGCGAGGAGCAAGTGATGCAACACTTTATTGCTGTTTCGGCCCATCTGCCGTCTCCGAATATTACAATAGCAGTGATTTCCTACAACCTCTCCACCAGAAGATGCTAGTGCATGCTTTCAGGAAGATGATTGTGCTGATTTATGAGTTGACTGTCTGTTCCTCTTAGATAGGAGCTGACAAAAGGATGATTGGTTGGATTTTATACGTGGTCTGATCGCTTAAAAATTGGACCGTGGTGGTTTGATCAGTGGCGTTTGTCGTTCTGCTATTCATGGGAACGTGAGATTGTATGTTTTCTGATTATGCAGTAAGGTCATACTGAAGGCAGAGCCTTTCATTGCATTTATTAGTTCAATTCATTGATCTTTTCAGGTCAGTAACAAGCATTTAGTCACTTTAGCCACATTAAAATGTATGAATTGCACTGCGTTAGAGACAATACAAACGCTTATATGTGACCCTGGACCACAAAACCAGTCATAAGGGTCATTTTTTAAAAATGGAGATTTATACATCATCTGAAAGCTGAATAAATAAGCTTTCCATTGATGTATGGTTTGTTAGGATAGGACAATATTTGGCTGAGATACAACTATTTGAACATCTGGAATCTGAGGGTGCAAAAAAATCTAAATATTGAGAAAATCATCTTTAAAGTTGTCCAAATGAAGTTCTTAGCAATGCATATTACTAATCAAAAATTACGTTTTGATATATTTACAGTAGGAAATTTACAAAATATCTTCATGGAACATGATCTTTACTTAATATGCTAATGATTTTTGGCATAAAAGAAAAATCTATCATTTTGACCCATACAATGTATTTTTGGCTATTGCTGCAAATATACCCCAGCGACTTAACACTGCTTTTGTGCTCCAGGGTCACATATTAGAGTTTGCACGAGCACTCTGTTAAACAAAACGTTTTAAAACAATGAAATAATAGATAAACTAAAAACTTTTGACTCTCTGTGGTTGAACTTCATACATCCACTAAAAATGACCACGGTGATTGAAAGACGTTACAGATATGGCTCAGTAAAGCGAAGTTAGTTCTGAGAAAAGTGATGTTTTCGTAACTTTTCACAATAAGGTTCTATGTTTTAACATTAGTTAGTTAAACGAAGAAAAAGATTTAAAAAAAAATCAGAAGTAGTATTTGTTAATATTATTTAGGCTAACGTGAACTAAGAATGGACAGCTGATTTACAAAGATAAATAAATACTGTAACAAATGTATTGCTCTTTTAAATTTTTTTTGTTTTTTTTGTTAATTGTAGTTTCTGCATTAGAGCAATTGTTCAACCAATATTAAAATTTGCAGATTTTTTTTTATTTCATCCTCAGATCTGTAGATAAGTTTGTTTTTTCATCAGATTTGGAGAAATGTAGCATCGCATCACTTGCTCACCAATGGGTCCTCTGCAGTGAATGGGTGCCGTCAGAATTAGAGTCCAAACAGCTGATAAAAACATCCACAAGTAACTCCAGTCCATCAATGAATGGAAGTGAAAAGCTGCGTGTTTTTTTAAGAAAAAGAAAATCCAATGTTTTAACTTCAAACCATTGCTTCCAGCTAAAATACTCTAATCTATAAAGTCTATAATCCATAAGAACGCTTCCTTCAGTGAGAAAGTCCATCTCCTGTTGTCCTCTCACATCAAAATCCAGCCACATATTTATTTAGAGCTGCTTTGGCTTGGAAACAGTGCTTGATCTGTGCAGATTTCTCTCCTGATTCAGACGAGACGACTTTTTGGATTGTTATATTATAGACAGAGGACTTGTATTTTAGCCAGAAGCAACAGTTTGAAGTTAAAACGTCTTAATGATTGATTTGTTTCTTACAAACATGCAGCTTTTGGCTTCACAAGACATTAACTGCTGGACTGGAGTTACTTGTGGATTATTGTGATGTTTTTATCAGCTGTTTGGACTCTCATTCTGACGGCACCCATTCAATGCAGAGCATCCTTTGGTGAACAAGTGATGCAATGCTACATTTCTCCAAATCTGATGAAGAAACAAACTCATCTACATCTCGGATGGCCTGAGGGTGAACCATTTCTTTTAATAATGGGGGAAAATGTTACAATACAATGACATTCAGAACTTCGAAAGTGTCCAAGCATCTTTGAGCCACTGTAAACCGATCTCCGTTTCGCTCACAGGAATCAGCTTGTTCCTCATAGATCACACAGTATATGTCAACTACCGCTTTCCTTTGTGTTAGTCTGCCTGTCTGCCTAATCAGATCAGCACCACAGGCATCTGACTGTTACCATTATGCCTTTTTCCTCTTAGTCCTGCTTCACTCACTATCCAGGAATCCTCCTGATGCCAGCTCTGTGTGTTCTTTCTAGTGTAAGGCCTGGGCGGATCTATGCCATGTTCATTATGTGATTAGGACCCGACACAGACACACGTGTGTTTGTAATTCCTCGTCTTTCACCGAGGGAGGGAGGAGGTGAAGTAAAGCTGAATTTCTGAAGTGAGAAGAGCCTCTGGTTTCTTGTTGCTAAGGAGTTCCTCAGTCTGAGTGAAAAATGCTGGTTTAAGGTTGCGGCGGCGGCTTAGTTTAACTGCAGCTTTAATTGCATAATTTCATATCTGCTGCTGTTGTGTAAAGACTGGGGGTGGAATCGTGTGATTTGCTACAAGTATTATATTTCCTCTTCCCTTCGCTGATCTAACACAGGACGCTTGCAGGAGGTTTCTGGAAGATGCTTATCGAGAGCTGTTGACTGTGTATGAATGAATGGACGGCAAACCTGGACATGCTCAGATTGTGTCTGTGTGTGTTTAAAAAAAAAAAATTTAATATCTAATATTAATAGTAAATTTAATGAAATATTTAATTTAGAATATTTTTGGAATATTTTACTATTTTATTTGTTTGTATTTTTGAACTAATATTAATAATCCAGAACAAATATGTTCAAAATATTTTGCTGATCATCTGAGAACTCCATCTGTGAACATATTCAATCATTCAGGACTTTGTAAATATCTTGTATAATAAATAGGCCTATCTATAATTTATTTGTAAGATTTGTACAATAAAATTTTTTTTGCATTTAATATCTAATAATTATAATTTGTTTAAATATATTTTATATAATTTGCAATATTTTGTGTTTTTATGATATTTTTTTGTATCTTGCTCAATTTATATATATTTTATACATGTGCATGTTTGTGTTTTTTTTATATGTGTGCGTTTGTTTGATGGTTTGCTGATATTTAGTAGGGCTGGGTAAAAAATATAGATATCTCGATATTAATCGATTCTCATTTTTACGGAACGATATCGATTCTTAAATCCCAAGACTCGATTAGTCTAGCCTGTTTTCAGTTAATGGACTGAACGTTGAAGGGTACTTCCCATCCAATAAATCGCAATAAACATTGTGTTTTGGTACTTTTAATATGAAACAAATCTCAGATTTCAAATTCTGTCCATTGTAATGTTCAAAATATTTTGCTGATCATCTGAGAACTCCATCTGTGAACATATTCAATCATTCAGGACTTTGTAAATATCTTGTATAATAAATAGGCCTATCTATAATTTATTTGTAAGATTTGTACAATAAAATTTTTTTTGCATTTAATATCTAATAATTATAATTTGTTTAAATATATTTTATATAATTTGCAATATTTTGTGTTTTTATGATATTTTTTTGTATCTTGCTCAATTTATATATATTTTATACATGTGCATGTTTGTGTTTTTTTTATATGTGTGCGTTTGTTTGATGGTTTGCTGATATTTAGTAGGGCTGGGTAAAAAATATAGATATCTCGATATTAATCGATTCTCATTTTTACGGAACGATATCGATTCTTAAATCCCAAGATTCGATTAGTCTAGCCTGTTTTCAGTTAATGGACTGAACGTTGAAGGGTACTTCCCATCCAATAAATCGCAATAAACATTGTGTTTTGGTACTTTTAATATGAAACAAATCTCAGATTTCAAATTCTGTCCATTGTAATGCAGTATTTAAACAATAAATGCAATTTTGGCACTGTTTAATGTGGAGTGACAGATCGCTGTAACACCTCAGTTCAACAGCGCGAGGCGCACATGAACTGATCGTCTCCTCCACATTAATACCAGCTTCAGCTCAAAATAAACATGACTAAACATCCGAAGGTAAGTTAAAAGAAAGAGTACAACTTTACAATCTGTATCCTGTCTCATGTAATCTCTCAATCAGTGTTTATTTTTAATTTATGTTTGAATAA